CGCCGACTTAGCATCCATCTGGATGACAGATTTCACAAGGGATGAGATTATCATACGTTTTCTTCCATACCTGTGTTGGAGGCAATGGACCGCTGCTTGATAATTTGCTCCAGTTACTTCAAATCCTTCTATTGTTTGCAAAGCATTACCAGTAAGCACTGAGCGTAGGTAAGTAAACTTCTGTACCTTGGGTAAGTCATCATTGTTATGCACTGCGGCTTCAAACTGGTCCCAGAAGTTTTGAAATTTCAACACATCCCCATTAAACTTTGGCAGTTCAATCCTGGGCAATTTAAGACTTGAAGATTGACGACTGTCAGTATGTGTATTTTCTTTTGAAGACTGATGATCTTCCACTTTGGAATCCTTTTGGAGGTATTCATGAGCAACATCGATAGCTTTATCCACCACACGTAAAAGGTCTCCCCATTTGCGAAGTTCTTCTTCTATCATATCCTCCGCGATCAGCGCGACTATTTCATTTCTCAGCTGAAGATATTTCTCTCTATGCACGGTAAGTCTTTCAATTCTCAGCTTTACTTTCACTTTGTTACTGGTACTTTGACTAAGCTCCGAAATTTCCCGAATCAGCCCGTCCATATCTATTTGCAAGGCTTTGGCTTTGCGTCTGATCGAATTAATCTGTTGAATTTCTACTTCACTCGAAGACTCCGCTGACTCAGCAAGATTCATTTCTTCCTTCGACTCTGGTTTGACAACATTTGACTTTGAATCGTCTACCAACCTTTCAATCAAGACCTTCTTTTTTCCAGTAGTTGGTAATCCTTTTTCTTGAAGCAGCTTTCGCAGCTGATCGACTGTAAGTTGCGATAAATCATCATTTTCGGTCTTTGGACTGGCGGCCATCTTATCGCCCACGTGGTGATGACCTTGCGAAGAATTAAAAATTTACTGTTCAAATGTCACCTTGTATCCGGCTGTGAAGGACCATGTTAAGGAAGCGATGGAATACAAACTTGAACGCTTGAACACAACTTTAATTTAATCCGCTCGATTTATAATACACACCGATTTACAACAGGTTGATGTACTGCCTGGGAACCCGACTTACAACAAATCTACGAGCGACTAGCAAGGAAGTCACGTGACGTGTTATCTACATAATTTATTCTACTCTCACAGGTCCAGTCTCGCGGGGCTTTTAATGACCCGAGTACGAGTACGACGATGGGCCGTAACAACCTCGAAAATGCTTTACTCGATTTTACTCGAAAATGTTAAAATATTGATCTCCGCTATAAAAGACTGCCCCTAAAAATCTCGTGATCAAGCCTCTCTATAGTGTTCAAGACTTTTTAGACTCTGTAATTCTTAAAAGAATTACTAGAGCAGAACCGTCGCCAATATTGTAAATCAGTAACAGACTCATCTACATTTCCTTTCGTCCTCTGTTATTTTAAGGTGTCATGCCGATCGCATTTGCCAAAGGTCTACGTTTCAAAATTCTCTTTATGACCTTTTTCTTACACAGCGTTGCCTTGTTCATTGTGACGTTGGTGACATCTACGTGGTCATTCTAAGTAAATGAAAGGACGCAAGAAATACTGAAGTTGGTCACCCATCAGTTCAACGAAAATGTGCGTCTTCAAGAAAGAGTGCCATCCCCGGAAATACGGCACCCGGATTGTGTTCCCGTATCTTCGCGACGTGGCTGGCAGAGCTATCTACAGTATCCGTTTATTCTCTGGGATCCCTTGGCTCAGTTCCCTCACCTGTTTGATACTCGATCACTCTTGTGTCCTATATGTCTAGAGGACTCCGAGAAGGCGGCTTTGGAAACCACTTCATTGTTAAAGAGAACGAATCATTGGTTTAATGGCTGTCTTAAAAGATTTAATCCACGGATTGTTTTTCATACTAACACCTGCGTACTTCTTGTGAGCTGTATGTACCGCTGTTGTAAGGGCCATGAGATTTCGTCTTGTCACTCTGCTGTTTTGTCGAGCTTTCCGGTCTCATATACTTTTCAACTCCCGTTTTGTTTGTTTCAAAAATCTGGATTTACGAAAGATGCTCTTCTTCTTGTACAAAAACTTGTGGATGAGGGACTTGCTTTTAATCAAATTGAACGACTTTTTGAATCGCAATATCGTGATTGCTTTTCATCCATGGAATGTAAATTTTGTGCGACTATCGATTGGAAAATCATCAAGGTGATCAGGACATAAGGAAAGAGTTGCGGTTTTTTCCTTCTTTTTCTAATAACAATTTTCCTCATCCATCCAATGACCTATTAATAGATCTTTATGTGGCTGGATGTAAGATGCAAGAGGCTAAGTTTGCGCAGGCGATGTCCAGACAACCTGCCAGATGGATATCGTGTGACCATACGTTTAAAAGCGTTGCCAACATCGGATACAAAAGATCAAGTGATGGCAAATGGATTAGATTATATAATTCCGTGTTTTGCATTCTTAACGAAAATGGGAATGTTATTCAATGGCAATTTACAAAATCTGAAAACTTCAACGAAGTCTCTAAAATGTTTGCTGATTTGAAGGAACGTTTTCAAGTTCAAAACTCTCGTCTTGAAGGTATTATGATATATAACTGTTGTAAATGGAAAGAATCGTTACGTCGCGTGTTTCCTGGTATTCCTGTTAAACTGGATTGTTTCATGCCGTACAACGATTTGTTAAAACCATTTCTAAGCGAAATCCTTATCATCGGGATATTTCTAAAGATTATGGATTGATTTTTCGCGATCCTAAAGACCTCGGGGAGAAACGAACAATGCCTACGCCTGAACCAAGTGTTATCCTGCATAATTTGGATCAATTTTTAACTAAATGGAAAGGCTTAGCACACGACGATAAACAGCTTATTACGCAGAAAGGACAAAAAGCTTTAAAAAACATAAAAAGCCACATATTAAAGGGTTGCTTGAGCAACATCCCTGTTGGGTGCTGTACATCAGTCCAAAAGCGAATGCACAGAGAAATGAAAAAGATTCTGAGTAGTAATAGGATCGGCACCGAACTTGCGTATTCTAAATTTTCACGCTTTTTCTTTCAACATAATGCGAGGAAATCCGAAGGTGGGCTCTGGTCGCCAATTATGGAAGAGGCTAAAGTTAGAAGACTGGATGCCACTGGACGATCTTTAGAGGCCAAAGAAGCGTATGTCGAGACCTTTGGAATAAGGGAGAAGTCTGTCGCGCAAACAACTGAGGGAAAAGACTCTTCGCCGAAAGCGATTTCCCTTAAAGAGTTAACCTGCGACCAAATATCTGAGATACTCGATGAAATAAAGTTCAGTATAGAGGAGCAAAGCGATTTGGATGACCACCGAGAGCATGAAAACGACCACACGGATGCCTCCACATCACCGAGGGATAATTCTGTTGGGCAAATCTTGCGCATTTTACAATACGGATTGAGTCTCTTTAAAGTTATGCTATATTTTCAAAAAATGCAGGGGGTGCAAGCTGTTAGTTTCTTAAAGCTGCCGTTCATGTCTCGTGCTCTAATCCACGCGCGGTCTTTGCTCGAGACAAGCGAAAAGAACTCCGACATTAGCGCACGAGTCTCTTCTTTTGGTTACAATGTAGAGCCTGTTCCTGGCGATGGGAACTGCTTTTTTCATGCTGTTTCATTCCAGCTTTTGAAATTAATGTCAGGTGAAAACGGTCGGTCCACCCAAGAACGTCTTCTCAACTTAGGCATATCACCCAACCAGAGCATGGCTTCAATTGCAGCTGTACTCCGTCAGAGGATAGTCGACGAATGGCAAGGGCCATTCGTGGATGAATATCAACAATTCTTTCACGATTCGGAATTGGACGTCTATACAGAAGCAGAACATTTTCGTCAGAGCGGAGAATTTAGTCGTCCTTTAGGAGACGCGATGCCACTAGCAATGGCTAACATTTTGCAGATGCCTATTGTACTTATTACTTCCGCTCAAAATATGCCTATAGTTACAATAACGCCAAGACGTATCACGGATGAAGTGAGTGTAGTCCTCGCATACACGCAAAGAGGCGTAGGTCATTATGATGCGGTAACCCAGAACAACATTGCAAAGGTTGGCGGGGACTCACCTGACAACGATAGCGCAAAGATGATAAAAGAAAGCTGCAAAGGTATCTGTCACCATCAGGTACACATTACTATGGTTTCTCGGCTGATGCTGCAAGTGCCTTACAATTTGGAATGTTCTTCCAACAACCCAATTGGCAATATTGAACCGTTGAACCATAGAAATGCGTTGTATATTGTCGTAACTTTTGTGGCTGTGTTTAGTTGTTTAGCTGTCCAAAAATATTTGTACTTAGACCCGCGCTAAAATGGTGGAGAAACTG